GACAAGCCACTGGGAGCTGAGACTTCTACAGGTAAAGCAGGGGAGAAAGGGGTTCTTTTCATTACAAGAGGTTTAAAGGAAGACTTAAACTTGCTTGAACAGAGTTTGCAAGACAATGTAGTGAGGTGGTAAATACCATGGGCTCTGGAGCCACACTGCCCCAGTGCCAGTCCAGTCTCTGCCATTTTACTCTATGGTCTTTAGCAGCTCTGTGCCTCAACTTCTTGATCTATAAAATAGGAATGATGCTCATAATCATATCTTCTTCATACATTTTCTGTGAATATTAAGTTAGTTAATATATGTAAGGCTCTCAGAACAGTGTCTTAATACATAGTAAATGTAATAAATGCTGCCTATTATTTTATTCACTCACATAGTGAGAGGCAGGAGGAGAAACTCAAAGAATGGAATTCTAGCTCAAAAGCTAGAATTAGGGATTCAACACTTCTAGACTCTACCTCTCTCCATCCACCCAGCCCTCATTTCTACTTCATATGTGCAGAGAAAATGGCTAGCAACCCTAGCAATGAGAAAGAACATCTTGCTCCCAATTTCCATATATCAAATGAGGGGAAGACTCTGATTGGTCCTGCCTTGGGTCACATGTCCAGCCTTGGACCAATTATGGTTGCCAGGCAATTACAGTTCTAAGACTGGCTAAGCGGGAGTCTCTGAACCATCTTTGGAGTTGGGGGGGGTTCTTTGATGAACAGCCAACTGTGAGCCACGTGAAATGGAAGTAGGGAGAACCTCAAAGGAGAGGATGACTGACAGACAAACCAACCAATGCTCCTTGTGGTTTAAGAATATTTTTATTATTGAGACGCCTGCATGGCTCAGTTGGTTGATTGTCCAACTCTTGATTTCAGCACGGGTCATAATCCCAGGGTTGTGGGATTGAGCCCCCACATCAGGCTCTGAGTTGACAACACAGAGCCTGCTTGACATCTTCTTTCTCCCCCTCTCTCTGCCCCTTCCCCACTTGCTTGCTCTTCTCTCTCTCAAAATACACAAACATTTTAAAAAAGAATACTTTTATTATTAACATTAGCTAACTTTTTTTTGAACAACTGTTACGGTATCAGGCACTGTCCTAAGTGTTCTATATGCATTATCTCCATTCTCCTTACAACTCTGTGAGGTATAGGTAGTTACTGAAGAGCCCGGGCACAACATTACTATTATCCCCATTTGCTTAGAGAGGAATCAGTTAACTTGCCAAATGAGTCATAGCAAGGAAGTGGGAAACCCAGGATTTTAATCCAGATTTTAAAACCTGTGCTTTTAAACACTCCACCATGGCCCTTCACATCTTTACAATGGGCTGTGAAGTTACAAAGATTGTTAAAACATGTTCCCTTCACCCAGCAAGCTCATGAACCAGGGAGAGAAACTGTACTGAAATGCAGCACAGGGTCAGCTGCAGGAGTAGCAGAAGACCCTCTTGGGTTTTTTGAATGAGGAGGGTGCTTAGGTCCCTGAAACCTAATGAAAGAGATGTTCAGAAAGGATTGAAAGGGCATCAAGAAGAGGCAGTCCTCTCAGGAGGATCCCAGGAAGGCTTCCCATAAGAGGTGACGTTTGAGCTGGGCCTTCATGAATGAATAGGCTTTCTCCATCCAGAAAAGACGTGGAGGATATTCTGGGCTGAGAGGCAGCTGAATATTGTGGGGAGTGTGTAGGTTTTGGACTTCAACTGGGCCGATTCGCATCCTAGCTTCAGCACTTTTTGGCGTGTGACAGTGGACAATGGTTGGTATCTCCGAGCCAGGGGTGATTGCTGTCTCAAGGGCTGGAGTGACGTCTGAATGGGAGAATGTTCATAAAATGCGTATTCACAGTCTGGCTCACAGAAGATCTTTGATAAGTATTCATCCTTTTCTCCTCCAGTTCCCTTCAGGACAGGGGGATGTCCCTTCAGGACAGGCACAGGATGAGCAGAAGCTCAAGTGATGCCCTGTTTGGAGAATGCTCCGTGTGGTGGGCTGCTGTGGATGGAGCAGGGTGAGGCTTAGGAGAAGAAGTGAAGCCTTTGAGGAGAAAGTGTTTCCAAAGACTTTTGTGTGATTGGTTACTGTTCTAGGTATTCAGTCTTTATCCTGCACTGTGAAAACAGCCTTATACAATGAGATGGGAACTTCCGCTTGCAAGTAGCAGAGGTCAGACTTGGGGTCTGCCTCCCTGTCTACTGCCTTGGTAGATGTTTAAGACCAGAGCTTAATCATTTCATTTTAGATATATCCAGATTGATGTGCAGAAAACCCCTGGGAAGGGTCACACAGGAAGGTGTCAGTCATAATCATAATACGTCTTTGTAGCTTGGTGTAAAGAATATATTTCTATGCCCCAGGCAACAGCTTGACTTCTCAGGATCTGAATTTACTTGTCTGTGAAGTGAAGGCTTCGATTAGAACAGAGTTTCTCAACCTTGGCACTCCTGGCATTGTGGGCTGGGCAATTCTTTGTTGGGGGCGGGGCTGTTTTATGCTCTGTAGGATGCTTAGTATCCTTGGCTCCTTACTCACTAGATGCCAGTAGCCACCTCTTCCCCACCCACTTGTGGCAACCAGAAATGTCCACAGGCAGCGCCAAATGTCTCCTGGGGAGGGGGAGAGCAAATGATTCCTAGTCGCAAGTCCCTGGACTAGATGATCTTTAAGGCCCCTCCCATCTCTGACAGTCTGTGACTCTGGCTAGAAGGAAAGAGTAAAGAATGTGAGGGGCAGTGAGCTGGGAGAATTTTCTCCATACTTGTGAGGCAGGACTAGCCCAGCACAGTGACTATGCTGGGAACAGCCTCTCTGCTAATGAAGTCTTCAACAAATAACTCTCATCCTCATTACAGCTTCTATACCTAAGAAGGCGGCTCTCGAGGATGCCAAGCCAGGACCAGAAGCAGTGAGGACAGTGGAATGCAGCAAAGGCCTCTCCCTGGAGCCAGGCTCCCAACTGGAGGAAAAGAAGGCTTCGGAAATCTCCCCGGGTTCTCATCATTCAAGTGGATTAGAGAAGAGGCTGGATCCAGAGAAGGCTGTGGAGGAGGTTCGTGAGGCTGACCAGGGGGAGCCCAGCACTCTGCAGGAGAGCCCCAGGGCCAGAGCCGAAGCCGTGTTTCTCCATGAGGTGGTAAGGTGGACTCACTGCCTGATCCCGCCAGTAGAGTCCTCTTTGTCCCAGTGGTTCTCAGAACAGCTGAAAGCAGTTTGTTTTTATTTTTTTAGAACCAGTTTCTGCCAAAGGGACTTTGGGAGACAATCTTCTAATCAGGGCTTGGAGTCTTTTTCAGTGGACTTTTCAGAGGGCCTATGGTGATGGGAAGGAACCATCCAGCTCAGATTCCCTAGAACAGGCTCAACTCTAAACATTTCTGATTTGAAGTCACCATAAACCAGTGACATACCCTTGGAATATAATGACATTGGGTCCCAGAAGCAGCACAGAACCAGTCCCAAATATGATGACCATTATGGGCTCCAGCTTTCCTTCCAGACGTCCTGGATGGACGGTGGCTTGTGCACATCTGTAAAGTCTTCTGAAAGATTTCCGGGATCCGCTCTCCTTTCTCCTCTGGCTTCTGGAGAAGTTAAAACATGATGCCAGGGCATACTATACCTCTTGTACTTTTTAGAGGTGAAGGTTTTCCAAGGTTTTACAGGATGTGCTTGCATAAACTGAAAGGGTGAAGAGGTTTTCGGGGATATCCAGGGAGAAGTCCTGCATTGAGGAGGGAGCTCTGTGACCCAGAGGTGTATGACAGAGAAGAAAGGAACTTCTTTGCCTTTTAACCTGTTTCCAGGGATTTGATTTCTAACACGTGCACAAAAGGACTGTGTGCTGGGAGTTAGGGCAGTGCAGGAGCATCGTGGTGGCCTCAAGAGGGCTGAGGAAAGCCTGAAGGACGTGTTTGTGATTGTAGAAGGAGGATATAGACATTCTTCTTCCAGGGATTGAATTCTGGGAACAGCACTGCTTTCAGAAGCAGATAAAATAAGTTCTGGAAGGGTAGCCAGGCCGGATTCAGGGGAACAGGTAAAGGCATCATTCATCAGGTAAAGATCCATTCATCGGTTTAAAAATGTATTTCCGGGGCACCTGGGTGGCTTAATCAGTTAAGTGTCCAACTTCAGCTCAGGTCATGATCTCTCGGCTTAGCTGGTGAGTTCGAGCCCCAGATGGGGTTCTCCACTGTCAGCACAGAGCCCTTTTGGATCCTCAATTTCCCCCTCTCTCTGCCCGTCCCCAACTAGCTCATGCTCCGTCCCTTCCTCCCTACCTCCCTCTCTCAAAAATAAACATAAAAAAAAAAAAAAAAGGTGTATGTAAACACCCACTTTGGCCCAGGCACTCCTCTGAGCACAAGAGTGACTGCCGTGTGCAAGATAGTCACAGGTCCTGACTTCTTCGAGCTGACAGCTTAGTAGGTGAAAGTTCATTAAATGCATGCTTTCTAGGATGATGTGGAAGTACAGCATGCTGTGAAAATGTGTAACAGGAGGACCCAACCTAGTCGGAGGAGGAGAGTCACAGTGGTCAGGGAAGACTTTGCTGAAAAATACACATTTAGACTGAGAACTTAGCTAGAATAAAGGGGCTGGAGACAGAATAGAAAGAGAGAGATTTCTAGGCAGAAAGAGTAAGATGTGCCATGAATCTCAGGTGGGAAAGAGCATGAAACATTCAAGAAACAGGAACAAGACCAGAGAACAGAAACGTGGGCCAGAGAAAGAGACCCAGACGGAAGCAGGGGCCAGTCAGGCAGGGCTGCTTAGAAGGGATTTGGAGGTTAAGGGGCAAGGGGAAATCTTCTGATCTGTGCAGAATTTTGTACTTTCAAAGTTCCTGTATTTCGTGAGGAGAATGGCCAGAGAGGAGGCAGGGAGGCCAGGTAGAAGGCTAGTATGTGACAGGCCAGGTGAAAAAAGATGGGGACTTAGACAAGGAGGGGGGCAATGGGGGTAAAATTTTAAGGCTTCAAGAGTTATTTAGAAGCTAGAATGATGCTCACTTCAGCACCACTCATACTAAAATTGGAGCAATACAGAGACAATTAGTATGGTTTCTGTGAAGGATAACATGCAAATTCATGAAGTGTTCTATATTTTTGGGGGGGATTCCTGGCTGGCTCAGTCAGTAGAGCCTGCGACTCTTAAACTCAGGGTCATTAGTTCATGCCCCACATTAGGCCTGGAGCCTATTTAAAGTAAAATAGAATTTTAAAAAGTACAATAAAATAAAATAGCAATGTCTAAAATAATGTTTTTTATTTTAATAATTTTAACTATCACACGATTTTAATAATTTTAATTATCACACAAAGAAAGAAGCTAGAACGAACAGGATTTGGTGAGGGATTGGGTAAGATTGAGGAAGAAGGAAGAGTCAAGACACCACATAGATTTCTGATCTGAGCAGAAAGATGCACTATGGTCCACTTACTGAGGTGTTAGGGAGGGGTGAATGGGAGTTTACATATATATTTTTTTAATTTTTTAAAATGTTTTATTTATTTTTGAGATAGAGAGAGAGCGTGAATAGGGGAGGGTCAGGGAGAGATGGAAACACAGACTCGGAAGCAGGCTCCAGGCTCCGAGCTGTCAGCACAGAGCCTGATGCAGAGCTCGAACCCATGAACCGTGAGATCATGACCTGAGCTGAAGTCAAACGCTCAACCAAAGTTGGACGCTCAACCCACTGAGCCACCCAGGTGCCCCGATTTATCTACATTTATTGAGTTCTTAGTAAGACATCAATAAATGTAGGTGCTGAGGAGAGTAAAGAGATGAATAAAAGACTGCCCTTGCCCTGAAGGTGAAATAGAAATAGGTACAAATAAATGCAATACAGGAGAATCAGATCTTAAAAACAGGGATATTTGCCTTTTGACCAAGTAATCGTATTCCTGGAGAGTTCTCTCAAGGAAATAAGTCAGATAGAAAACCTCTTACTGAGCAACTACTCCCAGTATACCAGGCACTGTTTGGCCTCGAGGAATCAAAGACGAAGGGACACAATTCTTGACCTCTAAGAGCTCATAGTCCATTGGGAAAGATAAGCATCAAATTAGTTGTAACATTAAACACATGATCAGAGCCAGGTAAGAAGGGATGTCAGGTTGGCAGGAGGTCAGGTTTCTCATAAAGGCCTGAAACCCCACAGGATGGATATGCCACCTGGAACTGCTTCTCCTTGGGACAGAATTAGGCCTTGAGACAAGAACTGAAGGCCACTGAAATTGTTTCTGGTCAGGGCCCAGGACTCCCTCCATCCCCTTCCTGTCTGCATTTTGGGGCTTTGTGTAGGGAAAGAGAGGAGTCAGACGGAGAAACTAGACTTGAGGGGAGTCAAGGGCAGCAAACAAGATGGAGGAGGAGGCACCCCTTCAGATCAACAGTGGTTATCTCTGGGTAGTAGGAATGTAAGATTTTGCCGCTTTTGTATTCTCCTTTCTTTTAGGATGTGTTAAAAATTTTTTCCATGTGAAATGTGTATTTCTTTGGTAATAAGAAAAGATATATTTATTTATTTGGAAAGCAGATGTCAGGGCAAGACTTAACATTTACATTCCACTGGGAGAATCTGGTTCTTGTGTGCCACCTGGTAAACCTGAAGTTAAATGAAACCAGGGGTTCGTTTGTTTTATAAGTCAACAGTGCACAGGGATTAAGTGTTTCTGCTCTGGTGTAGACACAGCTGGATTTTAGTCCCAGGCTGCTGCTGTGTGACTAAGGTAAATTAATGTGTTTAAACATAGGTCTCCTCCCCTTTACATTGGGAGTAGCTAGAGTAGTATTTATCTCTTAGAGTGGTTGGGACAATTAAACAAGAAAATGCAGTTAAAATGTGTTATCGCACATCGTAAGCACTGAATAAACATCCATGATTTTCTTCTCCAATAGGTGGCCATGATTCGGTGTCCTTTATTTGCTGGGATAGCGCATCCTGGCACCTCGCCAATCCCTTTCCTCTCCCTGGGAAATAGTTGCAGTTGTCAGTGCCGAGAGTCCTTGACTCCAAAATAATCTACTTCTTGATGTTTTCCAGGATGAAGATGATCTGGCCAACGCCCTGATCTGGCCCGAGATTCAACAGGAGCTGAAAATCATTGAATCTGAGGAGGAGCTCTCCTCTTTGCCACCACCAGCTCCAAAGATCAGCCTAACTCAGCCAATCCTAGAGTCTAGTCCAGGGCCTCTCGTTTCCCCGGAGCCTCTTGGGAGCTTGTCCTGTGGCCCAACCTCAGTCTCCACCCCTGTAGAGGAGTGGACCAGGGATCCAGCCAATCAGAGCGCACAGGGGACTTCCACGGCAGCCAATAGAGAAAAGCCAGAGACTACGAACAGCCTCCACAGATCCCAGCCAGAGAAGGGCCAGCGCCCAGATCCCACCAGCTTGCCCCCTCTGGAAGTAGTACCGTTTGAGGCGGCTTCTCCACAAGCAAGGGTGGACCAGGGAGGGCCGGGGAATCTGTCTCCTCTGCTCCCGCCTGCCGCGCCCCCTCCAACGCCTTTGGAGGAGGAGCCTCGTGACCAGCTATCAAAGGGCAGCCCTGAGAGAGAGGACTCATCTAGGAATTTGGGGACAAATCCACACATAGACCAGCTGAAGTCCAAAGGCAGCCCTGGGACCCCCAGCTTTTGTCAGGGGGAGGAGGTCTCTTTAGGACAAAGTGAAGAGCAAAATTCAGAGAATGCTGCCCCTGAGGGAAAAGGCTCTGGTTTTCAAAGCCCAACAAGAGAGGTTGCGATCTCCCCACAAGGAGAGGGGGATGTAGCCCATTCAGTACAGGAGCCCTCAGACTGCGATGAAGACGAAACTGTGACAGACATTGCCCAGCATGGCCTGGAGATGGTGGAACCCTGGGAGGAGCCCCAGTGGGTAACCAGTCCCCTTCACTCTCCCACCCTGAAAGATATGCAAGAGGCCCAGGTGCAGGGCGCCCAGGGCCACCGATTGGAGAAGAGGCTTTCCCACAGGCCAAGCCTTCGCCAGAGCCATTCTCTAGATAGCAAAACCACCACGGTTAAGAGCCAGTGGACTCTTGAGGCTCCCTCCTCCAGCAGCTGTGCTAACCTTGAAGCAGAGAGGAATTCGGACCCTCTGCAATCCCTGGCATCCAGGAGAGAGATTACTGAACGGGATGAGAAAACCCTAAGGTCCTTCAGAGAGTTCTCTAGTCCAAAAGGGACAGAGGCTGTTCCCAGCCAGAAGGGACAAAGTGGTTTGCAGCCCAAACCAGCAGACATCACCCCTGTCAGCCTACCAGAGGGAAAGGAACTGGGGGCACACCCAGGGCACAACAGCCCTCAGATTGAGCAAGGTAGTGTTCCTGGACCAGATAATAGCAAGGAAAGTTCACCTAGTGTGCAGGACAGCACCTTGCCTGGAGAGCAACCCCCAAAGTTACAGCTGAAGAGCACTGACTGTGGGCCTCCCAAAGGGAAAAACAGGCCTTCTTCCCTCAATTTGGACTCTGCCATTCCCATCACTGACCTCTTCCGGTTTGAGAATGTGGCCTCATTTGGTTCACCTGGAATGCAGCTCTCTGACCCAGGAGACAGAAAAGCCACATGGAAGTCATCATCTCATTATAAAGTAGACCCATGGAGCCTTTACTCCCAGGACCCTCAGGACCTGGACATGGTTGCTCATGCCCTGACAGGCCGCCGTAACTCCGCTCCTGTGAGTGTGTCAGCTGTGAGAACCTCCTTCATGGTCAAAATGTGCCAGGCCAGGGCGGTCCCAGTCATCCCACCCAAGATTCAGTATACACAGATCCCACAGCCCCTGCCCTCTCAGAGCTCAGGGGACAGTGGGGCTCAGCCTCTGGAAAGGGGTCAAGAGGAAGCCAGCTCAACTGGTGGGACCAATCAGAAATCTATCAAAGATGATTCTCTCTCTTCCTTGGAAAGCCCAAAAGAAGAGAAATCAAAGCAAGAAGAGAAATCAAAGCAAGATACAGGAACCACTGAGTCCTTGCCAATGGATACCACTACATCCCACATGTGTGAGGGACCCACCCTTCCTCCAGAACCAGTATTGGCTAACCTGCTCTCCACCCAGGATGCAACAGTGCAATGCAGAAAGCGCACATCAGAGACAGAACCATCTGGAGATAATCTTCTTTCCTCAAAAATAGAGCGACCATCAGGGGGTTCTAAGCCTTTCCACAGGTCAAGGCCAGGAAGACCTCAGAGCCTAATCTTATTCAGTCCTCCATTCCCCATTATGGACCACCCTCCCCCTTCATCCACAGTGACAGATTCCAAGGTTCTACTGTCCCCCATCAGAAGTCCCACCCAGACAGTTTCCCCTGGCCTCCTTTGTGGGGACTTGGCAGAAAACACGTGGGTCACACCAGAAGGGGTTACACTTAGGAATAAAATGACCATCCCTAAGAATGGCCAAAGACTAGAGACCTCAACCAGCTGTTTTTACCAGCCCCAGCGGAGATCAGTGATTCTGGATGGAAGAAGTGGGAGGCAAATAGAATGACATCAGTTCACTGGTGTCTGAAAAAATGTCATGATTCATCATCTGGAAGTTATTACAGGGCCAGATATGTCATTATTCAGGCATAGGTTATCCAAATTTGGGTTATCCTTATTTTGGCCTCTTCTCTTTCTGAAGTTTTTGACCATTTATTAATTAGTTCATATGCCAGAAGAAAGGTCACGGGAAGGACCAAGAGATGAAATTTAAATAAGTCCATACCAGCAGGTGGGAAAAGATCAGGTAACAGAGGAGGGTGATATGCTTGCCTCCAATGCAATTTGAGTTTGTTTGTGAGTTGCATCTCTCCCACATTGTCATTATCTATTATCGTTGAGAGTTGGCTAAAATAACGTCATTTGAAAGAAAGAGAAATCCTTTGCCTGTGTTGGAAAATGTTGCTATATAAGTTTGAAGGCCTTCTTTTTACTTCATGCTCTTTAATGCTCTTTAAAGCATGTGTTCTTTTAGACCAGTTTTCTGATAAGCTTTGTAAAAATGTACACTCTAGAATGGAAGCAGATTTGGAAGTGCAAATTAACGTACACTTAAAGATCCAAATGGGTGAATTTACCCATGCTCTTTCCCTGGAATCTCTGCAGACCTGTCCAAGA